CATTGGCAAACCCTAAACCCTCAACCCTAAACCCTGAACCCTAAACCTTAAACCCTAATTAAGAGCCTCAGGAAAGGCGGATCAAAGCTCGCTCTTCCGGTTCCTTAGCCCAGACACCTTGACCTCTCAAACCCGAAAAAGCCTAAATCCCAAGGCCCCAAACGGTACAACTTAAACTCCTGTGGGACTTGCCTGGCTACATTTTAGGAAAGACCTAGATCTTCCTTATATACCTTCTTAAGGAATACAACTTAAGATCCCTAATGATTCTCAAGCATTTTCCTTAATTCAAGGATTGTGGAAGATCTTTCGGAAAAGCGGTGGGATTCTTTCTCTGGGCTCCCCCCTACACTCTCAGGAGAGCCAAACCACGAAAAGTGAAAAGGATCCCCACCAGCAATAGCCGTAGCCCTATACTATATAATACGTCGATAGCCTGGCCAATATGACTTGAAGGAACAGCCGCTTCAAGAACATGGGCCGGAATTTGAGGCAGACCAGTTACGTAGACCCTAAACCCTGCTAAACCCTAAATCCTAAACCCTACGCCAAAACCCCTTGGCTTAAAAAAAGGATTATAAGAACTTGTGCAGCGAAAACCAGAAAGTTACGGGTGGCTGTCCAAACTGGGGTCCCTGCTTGCAGCCCCAAACTATAGACCGTACTAAGAGTACCAGGACCCTGCCTGCACCCTCAAAGGCTACTGGGTATTTAGGGTGTCGTCGAGGGTAGAGAGACGTCTATGTAAAAATTGGAGGGTTTACGGCTTAGTTTATAAGGCTTTAAGAATGGAATTACCTACCAAAGGGACCAGGAATTTGACAGGTATCCAGTTGGAACATGGGATAAGGACGGAAAAGTGCTAGGATTCTTCAAACATTACCTTAAACGGCTCTGGCTGCAAGAAAAAACCATAGACCTCAACGCCCTATTCAAACTATGAGGCGCCTATCGCATACAGCATCTAAAGCAGCCTGTATACAATCCTTACTACATGAGCCTCTTTAAATCAACCCTGAAAGGAGCCCTTTGCGGATCCCTTAAAGGAACCCTTAAAAGAGCCCTTATACCGGAACCCTTAAAGAAACCCTAGAGCCTGCAACCTTTAAAGAACTCTTGAACGAACCCTTATAGTACCCCTGAGAGCAAAACCAAAGGCCAAGCGACTGGATCTCCCCATGAAACGAGCCGCCCATCGCGGCGCAACGCCGCGAAGGCACGGCTGGAACCTTCACGAAGCAAACACGGGCAAGAGGGCTACTGAATGCTTTTTATGGTTTAGGGCTCTGATTTGAGGTGCTATAAGGCTTTTGACCGTCTTTATTAGGGTTTGCGGTGCAGGGTCTTGGGTTTAGGGGCTATAGGTTTGTGAACACGGCTTTTGAGCTTTGCTGGAGTTTTGCAGGGTTGTTATTGAGCTTTCATGGAATTTTATTCTAAGTCAGCCTCGGGTTCGCACCATTTCGACCGGACATGTTCAGCCAGTGGCTGCTGAACGCTTCCAACAAGTACCCATCTCTCACCCCTAAACCCTCAAACCCTGAACTTTAAACCCTAAACCTTAAACCCTAAACCCCAAAACCCAAACCCTAAGCCCGAAAGGGTCGACTGAGCCAAGCTTTCTTGCGAACCACTTGAAGGTAAGCTGTCGGGATTCTATGGGTAGTTCTCTAAACTAGGGTCCCTTTTCGGGTGCCCCCCAATAGATACTACGGCACCCTGATCAAAAGGGACCCTAACATCTAAAGGGGCCCTAAGTTCGAGAACTACCCATTTAGGGGTTCTAGCGTCCCAAGGTTACCTCATAAAGGTGCCTTAATAGTTAGAATAGGGCTTTGGGGCTCATTAGACTTTAATTATTATCTCAGCAACAGACCCCAACAGCGATGGAAAAACATACCGTTTGGTTCAATTTGGCGCTCTGGTCTGTGTAAGAAAAACTTTCAGTCTACATCCTAACACCGCCGGCTCGTCTGCGTCCTGTGATCTGAGTAGATCAGCAGTACCATCAGCGGTAGCAGAAT